GTTGCAAATGTGTGTTTACAAGGGTGATTCTGTACCTGAATTCCTGAGGGGGGAAACATATTGAAGGGATGGTTTTGAGTGGAAAAAGGCCCAGCCTTCCCTGGCCATGACCTTCCCATGCTACAAAAAGTTAAGGTGGCCACATGTACCTATGACAGATCAGGGTCTTAAATGAGTCATCTGCTTAGAGATTTCTTCCAAATGAACCTGCGGAAGCAATGCAGTTAAAATGACCAGGGCCCCATAGATCCTGCCTCTGCTTCTTTCCGTGCTCCAAAACAATAATTCTGATTTTGAACATCCCAGCGACGACATCAATTTAAAAGAGGACATCACATAGCGGTGAACAACAACCCAGCGGAGTGGGACTGTAAGTTAAGGAACCCACAAACTTTGAGAGCAACCAAGAAGAATGAACTGAACTGAACTTGCAGTTTAAAACTAGTAGAACTTTATAAAGACAGAAGAAGCTACACCCATCCCTTTGGACAAAGAGATGTGTTCTGCTTAAAAGAGAAGGGAGGGAAAATGTAACGATTTCATGTTTATTTGTGTATGTGTGTCTTTAAAAGTTCGGTTTACATTGCTGTGTGAAAGTCTAGTGTGGTTGAAACAGGCAAGTGGTGTGATTGGTGAGTGACAGAGAGGGGGAGGGGTTTTGGAATGGACGCTGTGTGGATGATGGGAATGTCTATCAGGGGTGACTGTTGGGAATATGACAGTTGATGCAGACAGTGAAAGTGGTTTACATTGCTGTGTGAAAGTCTAGTGTGGTTGAAACAGGCAAGTGGTGTGATTGGTGAGTGACAGAGAGGGGGAGGGGTTTTGGAATGGACGCTGTGTGGATGATGGGAATGTCTATCAGGGGTGACTGTTGGGAATATGACAGTTGATGCAGACAGTGAAAGTTAGTTAAGCAGTTTTGTCCTGAGGTCTCTGTGAGAGAAGTTTTCCTGTGTGGAATATAAGAGTAAAAGTCTCTGTGTTAAGCAGACGGTTAAGTTCTGTGAAAGAGAGGAGAGACCCATCCCTGTGTAGGACGAGTTAGTTCATTATATGAAAGAGTGTTACAAAGTATATGCATAAATCCCTGAGAGATAACTGAAAGTGCTGTGCCATGACAGTGTGAGAGAGAAAGGAGCTTATATCTGTAAAGTGAATCTACAGTTCTTAAAAAGAGTCAAAGTTACAAAGAGTGTGATACAATTGACCTAAAGTACTTACAAATACCTATTTACAAAACAGTTACAGTTTAAACCACTTCTTACTTTGTTCTTCAAATAAATCCTTTTTATTTAAGTTTACCCCAGAAGCCTGATCCATTTTTCCTCAGGAAACACATAGTTCCTCGAAAGCCCAGACCATGGGTCACAATACCAAAACCAGACGAAGAAAGTATAAAGGTTTGGAAAGCCTATAAATTTCCTGGTGGCAGCCGGATTCCCAAAGTAAAATAAAATATCAGAACACATTTAAAGGTAAACCAGACCTCCCCAGTTAAGAGGTCGTCACACTTACACTTTGAATAAAACTTTGTTGGTCTTAAAGGTGCCCCTGGACTCAAACTTTGTTCTTCTTGTATTTTACTGTTAATCAGTTTAACCCATTAAAAACAAGTTATTGATTATCTATAATCTATCATGGACCTTTCTTACACAAAAATTGGAGACAGCAGACTGCGGCGTTAAATTCAGAACAATGATTAAAGCAATATACGAAAAACAACACACCCAGATAACAATAAATGGTGACCTAATGCAGGACATCGAAATTCAAAAAGGAACAAGGCAAGGATGCCCCTTATCACCACTACTGTTCATCTTCGCGCTAGAGACGCTTAATGATCTAATAAGACAAAATGAAAATATTCAAGGCTTGAAAAGAAAAGGTCAGGAATACAAACTGCTGGCTTTCGCCAATGACTTACTATTTATATTAGAAAACCCAAAGGACTCTAGTCAAGAATTACTGAAAGTGATTCAAGAATATGGAAAAGTGGCGGGGCTAAAAATTAACTACAACAAAACTTAACTGTGAGAAGGTACATAAAAGAAGATGGGATAATGTATATAAATGGATAGAACAACTAACAGAAATGTAACCAGAAAAGCTATATTACGATACTGTAACAGTGACTTTATACCTACAATGTATAAGCTAAACAACGGGAAGTAAACGACTCTGATATGAAATGTATCCAAGTTGATGAAATGCAGATATGTATAAACTTTTATTTAAACCAATAAAAATATAAACCACAAAAAAAAAGAATTACTGAAAGTGATTCAAGAATATGGAAAAGTGGCGGGGCTAAAAATTAACTACAACAAAACTTAACTGTTAACGAAAAACTGTGATATAATCACCAAGCAAAAATTATACGAGATCACATCTATGGAAGTAGTTAAAAAGATAAAATACTTGGGTATAACAATGACTAACAGGATTTCCTACTACAAAAACTAGAAGCAGCAGACCCAGGTCAAGAATTTTATAATAGATTTAAGTTTAAAGATGCAAAATAAAAATGAGAAGGTACATAAAAGAAGATGGGATAATGTATATAAATGGATAGAACAACTAACAGAAATGTAACCAGAAAAGCTATATTACGATACTGTAACAGTGACTTTATACCTACAATGTATAAGCTAAACAACGGGAAGTAAACGACTCTGATATGAAATGTATCCAAGTTGATGAAATGCAGATATGTATAAACTTTTATTTAAACCAATAAAAATATAAACCACAAAAAAAAAGAATTACTGAAAGTGATTCAAGAATATGGAAAAGTGGCGGGGCTAAAAATTAACTACAACAAAACTTAACTGTTAACGAAAAACTGTGATATAATCACCAAGCAAAAATTATACGAGATCACATCTATGGAAGTAGTTAAAAAGATAAAATACTTGGGTATAACAATGACTAACAGAAACAGTACACTAGTAGAAGAAAATTATTCTAAACTGTTGGACGAAATAAGGAAGGACTTGAACAAGTGGAAAGACCTACAATTTTCTTTGTCAGGGAAAATTGCAACGGTCAAAATGAATATTCTGCCAAGATTTTTGTTTCTGGCTCAGAATATCCCAGTTTTGAGAAGAACCCATTTTTTGGAAGAGCTGGAGAAGATAACAAAGAAATTCATATGGAACGCTAAAACACCAAGAATCAAAACAAAAGTATTACGAGATAGAAAAGATAGAGGAGGTTTTGCCCTACCAAATTGGAAATTATACTACCAGGCAGCTTGCCTAGGCTGGATTAAGGAATGGATCAAGTTAGAAGATCCGAGATGTCTAAATCTAGAAGGAGCAGATCTTGTCATGGGATGGCACGCCTACATTTGGTATGGGAAAGATAAAACCCACCCTCACTTTAAAAATCACATCTTAAGGGCGGCCCTCTTAAACGTGTGGAACAAAATAAAAATGAAATTTTATACCAAAATACCAAAGTGGGTTTCTCCCTAAGAAGCTTTCATAAGACCAACGCTACTAACTAAACGCAATAAAGAAACATATGAAAAACTATTAGATGAGAGAAATAACTTAAAATCAGAAGAGAAATTATTATCACAATACAACTTGAAATTATCAGGGTAGGAGAAGATTCAGTTAAAATCAAGATTTCAAAAAGACCTGAAAACGGGTTTCTATGTAGATAAAAATGACCTGGACAAAATCTGGCTTTCGTCAAATGATAAAATGATCCAGAAAATGTACAAATTATTGCTAGAGGATCACATGATAGATGAAGCAACGAATCACAATTTGGTGGTGTGGACGAGAGATATAGGTCATGAGATACCAAAAGAATCCTGGTTGAAGATTTGGAAATCCATAAAACATATGAGAGCAACAAACTATAGAGAAAATGTATTTAAGATGTATCATAGATGGTATTGGCCACCAGAAAGGTTAGCAAAATGCTATTCAAACCGTTCAAATGTTTGCTGGAAATGTAAACTAAACGTGGGAACATTCTATCACATGTGGTGGTGATGCCCAAAAATGCAGAAATATTGGAAAACGATACAGAAAATAATAGAGAAAGTCCTGAAAGTAAGACTAGGCTTGGTGCCTGAAATATTCTTACTTAATATTATGCCGGAAATACTTACTTTTAATGAAAAATATGTAACTGCGTATGTAACAACAGCAGCGCGAATACTCTGGGCCAAATATTGGAAATTAGACAACATACCCAGAATAGACGAAGTAATAGGTAAACTGTTAGAAGTGGCGGAAATAGATAAACTAAATCTGTTTTTACAAGGGAAAAACGATGAGGTCTTTGTAGAAAGCTGGGCAGGATTGTATAAATGGCTAGAAAAAGAGAGGGGGCTCTGAAAATATATGTAATACTGTAAAATAAGTACATGTATGAAAAACTGTAAAATAACGCTATAAAAAAACAAGTTATTGAGAGTTTTGAAAAACTTAACAGTTTGACATGTTTCTGTTGACACTATTTCTTGGAATACAGACATAGAAGACATAGCAGAACCAATGCTCCCTCTAAGCTGCGGTGTCTTCTGAGTAAAAATGCTACTTTGTGAGCTACTGGGCATGAAAGTTGTGGGCGAGGAATTGGCCTCCGCATAAATTAGTTTGCTCTGGAGCCATCCTTCCTGAGCCTAAGACAAAAATGTTTGAGCCAGAGGCTAAAAAACTGTGAACTGGCTCACACTAACTCAGCTTAGAGGGAACACTGAGCATAACCCTGTGCCTCATTATTTAACCCACACAGACCCTTTAATTTCTTTGTCTCATAAACACCCTCTTACCTTCTAGAATCAGGACCTTCTTGCAGGGTTTCACTAACTGAGCATGCTGTCCCCTTTATATATGGTCAAGTTGCAACATTTCTCAGCAGACTGCTTTATCTTTTCAGAAAACATTACTGCCCCATCCACAATTGGACAATACATGAAGAAATTCTTTACGCAGTGTTCTCACGGAATTTCCCTGTTTGCTTAATATTTATTATGCAAAACAAGAAAGAAATATTATTTAACATAGAAGCTTTGGAGAGATTAGGATAGCTCACGGCTTTCCCCAAAAAGTATCAATTTGACAACTGCTGAAAGAAACTCCATTACTCAGTACAAACTTGCAGACAGTGAGACCCTTGTTCTTTAGAGCAGAATGGAAACAACTAACTGCTTCCTCCTCTCAAGTTCCAGGAAAGCAGACATTAAGTGCACAGTGTACCCAAAGTCAGTATTTTAACAGGGTGGAAAATGCATACAAGAAAGGTTCACATAAAGGTGTTTTTTAAAAGGTCAGAAGTGCATCCCAACAGGTGAACACACTCATATTTTGCTCAATATTACAGATGGTAATTTTCCCCATTCCGGGGCCAGGACCTGGCCAGCCAGTTCCGCTGCCACCTCCGCTGCCACCACCTCTTCTACTGCCTGCACTGGCGGGGCCTGTTGTTCCACCAGCCTTACCGCGACCCAAGGACTTACTGGGTATTACCTTTGATGGCGATCCAGAACACCTCTCCTTTTTTATTGTATGGGTCATGAAGTTTGTGGAGCGGTGGGCTCATTTGTTCCCAGACAATGAGCAACAGGTGGACTTTATTGCTTCTCGTTTGCGGGAAGTGGTAACCAGCTAGTACGTGAGTCTTCACAACCTGGATGCGGTGGAGTTGGGAAGTGTAGATGCGTTTATGTGGGCGCTAAGAGCCCGGTTCAGGGACCGCACCGTGGCCAAGAAGGCAGAAGCGTTCCTCCACATTCAAGCAAGGAAAGTTGACGGTTAGAGAGTACTCTACCAAATTTCAATGGCAGGCCACCAAAATCCGTGATTGGTCCTACCTGGTACTAGCACAGCAATATCGCCTGGGGCTGAATACCGAGGTCCGGAACACCGTCATGGGTGCACAGGACCCAGGGGCGTGGCGTCAGAGCTGAGTAGAATGGACGCCTAAACGCAAGTCTCCTGCGAAAGACCCCCCTCCAAACTCTCAAAAAAACGATATTCTGAACTAGCATACTAGCACAAAGACAGCTTTACTGACTTGACTCACATTACGTTTTGAATTGCAGGAAACGACGTACTCAAGCCATTAAGAACTGATAGCAGCATTACCTCAGATCATCTCTACATAACCACGACAACACTTGAACGGTCATTACCAATGAGCCTTTCATTCATTGACATGACTTTTTTTCCCTCCCCCTTTTTTTTTATTATGCATGGGGAAAAAAGGAACAGAAACACTAGGGGAGGGAGTGGGAGGGAGGAGGGGGGCACGGGAAAGGGTAGGGGGATGGGATGGGTAAGAAAAGACAACAGAGGTGTTATTTCATTTTTATTTCACTTGTTTTCCACCGGGAGCATGGTAAAGCAATGGGGGAGGGGGGAAGAAGGTGAATGGACCGCAGCAGGAGGGCGGAGGGCGGAAGGGGGGACGAAAAACGTAACTAAACCCAGTAAAATTCTTTTCTTTTTTCTTCTTTCCTTTCTACCCTTGCTATAGAAACTTTTCCCTTTTATTTATCTCCTTATCTATTTTTTACATATAGTCTTTTCCTTTTTCTTTTTCCCCTTTTTTATTTTTACTGTGCATCGGGAAAAAGGAATAAAAACGCTAGGGAAAGGATAGGGAGGGGGGAAGGGGAAAAGGTAGGGGGACGGGATGGGTAAGAGGAGATAATAGATGTGTCCTCCTATTGTTATTTCATTTTCTTGTATCGGGAACATAGTAGAGCAATGGGAGAGGGGGGGAGAGGACGAATGGACTACAGTAGAAGGGAGGGGGGTGGAAGGGAGGACGAAAAACGTAACTAATCCCAGGAAAAACCTTTCTTTTTTTCATTCTTCATCAGATGTAGAAACTTTTCCCTTTTTTATTTAATTTTTCTTATATAAAACTCAATTCTTTATCTTTAAGTATTACCTTAAATCTTCTATTTTCCTATTTGTTCCATCAAATTTTGATGACAAGACAATCCCCATTAGTTTGGGATGAATCCTCTTGAATTAAGAAAAGGGGACATAAGAGCTCTAACGATTATAGTCATCATACCTTAAAAATCTACCTAACTCAATTTTAGATTGGTAGAAAAGAGTGCAAAAGATCACATGTGAATACCACCTCATTTTATAGGTCCCCACAGTATAACCACAAATAAGGCTATGGGAAACCAATCATGCTCCTAGCTTGCTATGATAATTGAGAACGTTGTTTTTGAAGGTTATCTTTATTCTATTTTTAACATTGTTGACCTTCTTAAAAGTGAATCTTAAATTTATCAAGAATATTGGAAGCCTGTATAACAACAACATAGGAGGGGGAATGGCAGGAGGCATGTTCTTGTTCCCCACAAATGTTAACTATAACTCAATATTTGTTGGATCCCCAAGCATCAAGAATAAATCCACGTTTCCAAGGAAAGCAAAATTTATTTCAAAGCATTGGAAAGACACTCAAACACGTTCTTTGTTAGAACTGGCTACACACAGTTAGGGCAAGCATAATAAAGGGATTTGAAACAGATACAGAACCAATGGGTCACTTTCCCGCTGGCGGGTGAAAGGAAACGGTTGCGCGCTCATTCCCTGAGAACCAGGCTATCTCCAGACATAACACAGGTGCAGTTCTCAGGCTCTAAAAGCAACAAGCTGGCATTGAAGCGAACTCCCCCAATACGTCCTCCAGTTGTTTGGCTTAGGCATTACAGCAGAGTAAAATAATAGCACACAGGAGGGGGGGGTAGCAACAGTACAGAAGTACCAGTAACACAGAACACCATGGCAGCTTGCTGACATACTGCCCCCTCAAAAATACACCTTAACCACCGTCTCCCGGGCTGGGTGGGAGAACTCCCGGTTTGGGCGGGAGACCTCCCGGTTTGGCCGGGAACTTCATGTGGAACTTACGAAGCAGATAAGGGGCCCGAATATCCCCTTCTTCCACCCATTCACGGTGGTGGGGTCCGAAGTCCACCCATTCAATGAGATACCAAAGCTTACCACGCTTAAGTTTGGAATCAAGCACATCAGCGATTTCAAAATGTTCATCCCCTTCGAGTACAATAGGAGGAGGGGGAACGACCGAAGGTCTCCATGGGGAGGAGCCAGGATCCTTTTTCAACAGACTCATGTGAAAAACAGAATGCAAAGCACATAGGTTTTTAGGCAATTCAACATCAACAGCAACATTGTTAAGTATCTTACGGACCTTAAAAGGTCCAATGAACTTCCAACCCAGTTTTTTACTAGGGCGCAGCATTTTGATGTTCTTTGTAGACACATAGACAAGGTCCCCAGGTTTTAAATCCAATCCCACCACCCGACCCTTATCCGCCTGAGCCTTATAGGCTGCCTTAGCAGCGTTAAGAGTTTGACATAACAAAGGCCAGGCATCTTGCAACGATTTACACCAGGAACCAGCATCCCCCCCCTTAGGAGCAACATTGTCCGCCAAAAAGGGAAGAGGGGGGCTATAATAGCCCGAGATAGCTTTGTAAGGAGACATCCCAGTAGAGCTATGTAATGTATTGTTGTAACAATATTCAGCAAGAGGCAACAAGTCGCACCAATCAGATTGTTGGTAGTTAGTAAAACAACGAAGGTATTGCTCAAGTGTTTGATTAACCCTTTCGGTTTGGCCGTCGGTCTCAGGATGGTAGGCGCTACTGAGACCTTGCTCCACCCCCATGAGTGACAGGAGTTCCCTCCAGAACTTGGAAACAAACTGAGACCCCCTGTCGGATATCAATTTGGAAGGCAATTGATGGATTGTGACAACGTGAGACCTAAAAGCCTTCGCAAGTTTTTGAGCAGTGGGCAAAGAAGAAAAAGGAACAAAATGAGCTTGTTTAGAAAACAGATCAACCACCACCCAAATCACTGTCTTCCCCTTGCTCACAGGTAGGTCCGTGATGAAATCCATAGAAACCACTTCCCATGGCCTAGAAGGAGTAGGGAGGGGTTGTAATAGACCAGGAGGCTTACCCCCCCGTGGCTTAGTCAAAGCGCAAGTGTGACATGTCTTAACAAAGTCCAATAAGTCCTTGCGCATATGAGGCCACCAAAACTGTCTGCGAAGCAGTTGAAGGGACTTGACAAAACTCCAATGGCCCGCAAGCTTAGAACCATGCGCCGATTCCATGATCTCTTTGTGGAGGGAAAAAGGTACATACAATTTATCATCAGAGTACACCAAGCCCTCAGGGCTACGTACACAGTTAGTTAACGAGGAAATGAAGTCATTGTCTTTAGAGCTGAACGCAGAAACATACTTGTGAGTCCATGCCCCCCCCATGCCTGTCAGAGGAGAGGGGAGTGGAGAGACAGCTGGCGAATGCAATTTGCGCGCTTGCGCTCGGGTCAGGACAGCCCCTCCCAAATGGGAGGGTGAGAAGACAGAGTCCACGATGACCTCACGTTGGCTGTCATGTTGTGGGAGGCGTGAGAGAGCGTCCGCCAGCGAATTAGACGAGCCGGGAAAGTGGTGCAGAGAAAAACGAAACTTAGCAAAGAAATCGGCCCAGCGGAGTTGCTTTGCATTGAGCGACCGGGGGGATTTCAGCATTTCCAGGTTCTTATGATCAGTCCAGACTTCAAAAGGCACTAGAGCCCCCTCCAGAAACTGGCGCCAAGAGGAAAGAGCGAGGCGGATAGCTGACGCTTCCTTTTCCCAAACCGACCAGTTTCGCTCGGCCTCTGAAAATTTCTTGGAGACAAAAGCCAAAGGGTGCAACTTGCCATCCACCCCCTCCTGCAGAAGAGCAGCCCCCATAGCCACATCAGAGGCATCGGTTTGCACAATGAATTTTTTAGTCTCATCAGACTGTGCCAAGACCGGTTCAGAAGTGAACATTTGCTTCAAACGGTCAAAAGCGG